ATATATATATCAAAAGATTTAGCTCTTTTCCACCCTCTCTAGCATGCCCAGAAAATGCTACCTTCCTATGGATGATGCTTTTTTCAATCTGAGTGAGATTAGGAAAAGATTTTGCTTAGAAATTGAAGCAGTTTGGGTCTTTAAAGCTGTCAGTGCACAAATTTAGAAAGACAGACATATCCACTACAGGGGGAAGATGAACCTGATGTCTCCTGTTTTGGGACAAAGGCAAAGGACCGTGAGAGGTATCATGTCAGACAACTGGAGGACTTCAGATTAGCAATCTCTGAAAATTGTTAAAACATCAGATCAATGCCAGCCACAAACAGTAAAAAAGAGGTTGAAGGTAAAAGAACATACATAACATACATTACTCACAAGCCTTTGTCCATGGATGTGGCCTTGGGCATGTGAGGTAAGACTCCTGGTAATTGCTTGGACCAATCCATGCAGTTTGGTTGAGAAGAAACTAGGGCCTTAAAGTCACCAGCTGGCTTCATGCCTAAAGCAGGACTTGAATCCACAGTCTCCCTGTTCCTAGCCCAGGGCTTTCTATGCTAGTGCTTTAACCACTGTACCAACTGACTCTCACTCTTAGGAGCAAATAGGCACCCTCACAGCAGAAACAGGCATGGCTCAAACCTGCTTCTGTCTGTTTAAAATAAAGAAACTGAGATCACTTTGAAGAGGAGGATACGTGTTTAGCTAGCATGAGATTCCAAATAGGCCAAGAATATATTCCATTTACTTAGAAAAATATCACTGAACTTCTGGCGCTTGTATCTTGGTTGACATTGAATGACACTAAAAATATCCTTCCTTTAACATCTGAGTTGATTATCTTGGGCATATGTAAATGTATTTAAATCTAGCTCATAATTTGTCAAAAGGCAGGTGATTAGTCAGCTAAAGCTCCTTTAATTAGCTGACAGAGCTATTAAATGCAATCTGCCATTTATGTAGAATGTTCAGACTAATTCTTGTTCATCAAACTAGCCTAATTTTTTATAATGATCTTGTTCTTAATTTAAGACAACAAAAAAGGCAATAGGCTAAAAAAGCTGAATGTAGAATTGATCCACTGTCATTCTTGATTAATTTACAGCGTGATAAATTTACTCAAGCAAATTTATATTATCTTGAACAATTTATTTATTTTTTTAAAAAAAATTCTTCATATCTCTCTGTGTTATTTCAACTAAAATAGATGGAGTACTATGGGCCAATGCAGAATTCAGCTTTCCCTATCTGGCTCCCTTCAGATGTATTGCAAAATCATTCCCCAGAATTTCTAGCCTACAGGGCAAAAGGCTGGGCACTCTAGAACAGTGGTGGCGAACCTATGGCACGTGTGCCAGAGGCGGCACTCAGAGCCCTCTCTGTGGGCACGTGCACCATGCCCCAGAGATGGCAACCGTCCCTCTTCAACCAGCCGCCTGCTAACTTGCCGAGGTCCCATGTGGCCGGATGCATCCCAGCACAGCTGGTTTCCCTGCCCCCTGTTCCGTCCCTCCTGGCTCGCATGCTCTCCTTTTCCCGGGCACGACCCACTGCATTGCCTCCTCAGCTGTTGGTCGGCCGTCCAGCTCAAAGGCGGCTTCTCTGAACTGCTGGCGGTGGGCTGCAGAGCCCCAGAGTGCGCTGGTTGAGGGGCCGGCAGGCTGTGGCTGCTGACGGACACTGTCGGCCCCCATCCACTCGCTGGCCTCTGTGTGCGGGGGCCGATGGTGTCAGGCAGCAGCCACCCTGGTCCCTGCCTCGCCTTGCCCTGCAACAATGGCACCCCCGCCCTGCCTCGCCTCGCCCCACAGGACGAGCCTTCTGCCCACCGCCCCACCTGCCAGAGACCCCCTGGATCTCCTCCAACCCTGCCCGTCTCCCACAGGCGTCCCTCCCCACGAGCAACATCGAGGTGACCACACCCACCTTGGCCACACCCACCCAGTCTGCCATGACCACCATAGCCACACCCACCCAGTGGGCCACGCCCACCTGGCACCCAGCGATAAATAAGTGGGTTTTGGGTTCAGTTTGGGCACTCGGTCTCTAAAAGGTTTGCCATCATTATAATCCCAACACATCTGGAGAACACCAAAAGAGAAAAAGGCGGCAAATGCAGTGACTGGAGTTGCCTCAGGGCCACTTGCATGAAAAATACTTTTGGGAAGGTGTGAGCAACAGAACATGAATCATTTTTGTGTGCAACTTTTTTTAATCAAATGGTTTATTAGTCAGAAAAGAATACTTGCTCTCTTTTTTTTTACTATGTGAGAAAGAAAGTAAACGTATTGTTAAATTGGTTTGTATGAGAAACTGGGGTTTTCCAAACTGGGTGTTATAGTTTATATCCTGCATTTATTATTTTTACAAGACTGCAAACCTACCCAACACATTTTCCTCCTCCTATTTTCCCCACAACAACAACCCTGTGAGGTGGGTTGGGCTGAGAGAGAATGACTGGCCCAAAGTTACCCAGCTGACGTTCATGGCTAAAGCGGGACTTGAACTCATGGTTCTCCCACTTTCTAGCCTGGTACCTTAACCACTGGACCACACTATCTCTCATAGTTTTGTGATTTTGAAGTATAACCCTCTGGGAAGTAGCTGGATTTGGTGATTGCGATAAGCCATAAATTGAATTGTATGGCTTTACCTTGGTGTCTTGCCTGAACCTGACTATTGTGGTTAATAAATCATGGTTTACAGCTTACTGTGTTGTACAAATCTATCCAGTGATTTATTGTCTGCCCTTTGAAGTAGATCAGACTAGGAAAAACCATTATGAACAATAATCCTATTCATAATAGAGGCTCTTCCTTCTGTTCCTCAAGGTTATTCTCACATCCTATTATACTTATAGATTAAACTGCTTGAACAAGCTATGGTTTAGTGAATTCAGGCAATTATTTATTTGCAGTTGCAGCAGCCATTTGAGCAAAACTTATAAATAGGTGAAATGAGATGCCCTGAATGTCTTTGTAGGCACAGTTGTGTACTTTAGCAGAACCAGGTATACGTTCCTCATGATTTTTCAGAGTTTGCAACTCTTTGAAGCCACCAAATGAATAGCTGTGCTTTGCTATATCTAGCGGGGCCCAAGAAATGAAGCATTTTACGACAAGGTTTCTAAGAATAAGACTCTCTATAGTTTGTCTGCTTTCGTCTGAAAGCCTGCTTGGCTGACAAGCTCAGTACAGAAGGTGCCAGACAGCCTCATATGCCAAAAAGAGGGGTGATGAGGGCAAGGCACATTTTGTCTATGAATGGAGATAGCAGGCTTTTTAAAAAATACATGTGGGCTAACATTACCACCTATTAGGATGGGGATAGCTGAGGTGTTTTGCAGGGCGATGTCTGCCAAAACTTGTGAGGTTGGATGCTCACATTTCCTTGGTATGGAAACCTACCGTAATGTTGCTGCTTTCATGCTCTCAAGTAAATCAAGAAAGACTGGGACCACGCTAGAGATGCCTGTCTTTCTTTAGCTTGATTATTTCCTCTTCAACTGAAGCTGATTTAGAAGAGAACTGGATTCAAGAACAAGAAGCTAAACTTTATTTATTTATTTATTTATTTATTTATATTTAAACTTCTATGCCGCCCTTCTCCCCAGAGGGACTCAGGGCGGCTCACAGCATGTTAAAAAACAACACAAAAAAACATTTCCCCTATAAAACCAATTAAAAAGCAAATATATTAATAGCTGTGTCATATTTAAAATCTTTGAAAATTTTTAAAAATTATTCCCTNGGCGCGGCGGAAGGTTAGGAGATCCGGAATCATCCGGATCTCGGGGGGTAGCTCGTTCCAGAGGGTGGGGGCACCCACAGAGAAGGCCCTCCCCCTGGGGGTCGCCAGCCGACACTGCCTGGCCGACGGCACCCTGAGGAGGCCCGCTCTGTGGGAGCGTACCGGTCTGTGGGAGGGAATCTGTGGCAGAAGGCGGTCTGTGGCAGAAGGCACTTGGGAGCCCTCAGTATATCGATATTTTCCTATTTGGTATCTTGAAAATGAGAAGGGAGCTAGCTACCTTTGATGGAATATGAATACTAAACATTGAAAAGTAGTCTTTTAGATAATAAGAATGCTGTGCTGAATTGACAGGAAAAAACATACTACATAAAGCATTCACTTACAAGGAATTATCTCTCGAGTAAAGGATTAGACAGCAATCTAAACAATTCATTTATAGTAACATTTCTGATTCAGTGGCTCAGAATGATTGGAGGAGAATCTGAAGCCTCGTGAAGAATTCATTGAAGTTGGGTAGCTAATACGTTTAAAATAATAACAACAGTAACGACAACAGCTATTTTATCTATGATATCAAGAAATCAGGTTTTTAGTTGTTCTCCTACATTCCCAGGAGGTTTCTGGTTTAGGTTTTAGCATCCAGAATCATTTTTGTTGTGACTGCTATTTCTGAATTGTGTTTGTGCAGTTATTAAGCTGGTTGCTTTTCAAATGGGTTTGGGGTGGAACAAAAAGGACATTGGTAAGAGAGAGAAAATGATCGGAAAGAATGAAAATCCTACTGTATGAATATTGAAAAGACAAATGTAGTGGCTTAAAAAAAAATCTGTAGCAAGAAAAGTGGTGTCAGAAGCTTTCCAACTGTGGGGTCCTTGGTGCTTTCTGAGCGTGGTTATTTTCTTGCAAACGTTTCATTACCAAACTAGATAGGATCATCACCAATGCTAGCTTAGAAAGCACCAAGGACCCCACAGTTCAATCCTGAGCTACAAATATTGTCTTCTATCAATTTTCAAACTGCATGTCCTTTTAAAGTTTAGAAATTCAAATTCACCCAGGGTAGTCAATGCTTCAATCTAAAATTATGAATTCTGGATCAGAAATTAAACATTTGAAGTGTATTACATGAGAGTAATCTTAGAGACTCTTCCACACAACTACCAAAATAAAGGTAATTATGTTTTTAAGTAAAGGCAGGGGTATTCAGGTTGTTTTATTTATTTAAAATATTTATCATAAATTTGATTATGCAACTAATTAGCAGTATTATACTTAAATTCTCCTTCCCTTGTCTGTTTTCTCTGCAGAATCTTATGGCAAGAGCCCTTTATGATAATGTCCCAGAATGTGCAGAAGAATTGGCCTTCCGGAAAGGGGATATTTTGACTGTGATAGAACAAAACACTGAAGGATTGGAAGGATGGTGGCTCTGCTCTTTACATGGACGACAAGGCATTGTTCCCGGAAACCGTGTGAAACTTCTGATAGGCCCTGTACAAGAGAGTCCATCTCACCAAGACTTGCCAAATTCAGGACCGGCAACTCAATCCCCTATTCAGCAAAAAATCTACCAAGTGCCAAATGCACATACCTCTTCTCGGGATCCCATCTATCAAGTTCCACCTTCTTATCTGAATCAGGGAATCTACCAGGTACCTACTGCCCACGATGTTTACCAAGTGCCTCCATCCGGGCAGAGAAGTTTTGGTGGAGTTGATACAGGCAATAAGGTTGGTGCACCTATATTTCAAAGCATTTGCATGAAACACATTATTGTGGGATTGAAAAAGTGTCTGGATTTGATGGAGTTTCCCACAGTAGCGATATTTACGTATGTATGCATTTAATGTATCAGAAGTGAAGTATATTAATAACCAAGAGGGACGGATAGGCATTATGGTCAAAGCATTACAGGGAATAGTAGAATTAGATAATTCCTCTGAATTCTATCTTCTAAATGTATGTATTCAAATCAAAATTCAAATCAGAAGGGGAAACAGTAGCTTGGGTCAACATCTGGACAGTTTGGACACTAGTCCCATACTAGCATAAATGATGAATAACCACACACCCAAGGGACTTGTGTTCCCTTTCGTACTATAAAGTAGGGCAGTGGTGGCGAACCTATGGCACGGGTGCCAGAGGCAGCACTGAGAGCCCTCTCTGTGGGCACGCACGCCGTCGTCCCAGTCCTAGGCCTTCAGCTGGGTTTTATAAAACCTTTTCACTTTAGGCCTCCGCCGCCATATGCAAAAAAAAAAAAAAAGGTTCAATCAGTCAATTTCAACTTCTCGCAGGGAAAAAAAAAGATCTTGCAAAGTTGGAGTTGATTGATTAAACTTTTTAGTCCCACCCACTCTGCCATTACCACTGCACCACGCCCACCCAATGGGTCACATCTACCCAATGGGCCACGCCCACCCAATGGGTCACATCTACCCAATGGGCCACGCCCACCCAATGGGCCACGCCCACCCGGCACCCGACGATGCATAAGTGGGTTTTGGGTTGCAGTTTGGGCACTCGGTCTCTAAAAGGTTCGCCACCACTGGAGTAGGGGGAACTGAGTCAACCTGGATAGATTGCAAAGAATTGTAAACAAATAACCCTTCACTTTGTTTAATTAATTCAACTCAAATTGTAAATTAACTGGCCTGTATGCTGTTACGAAGACCTGAAACGTTTTGGGGGGCTCCTTTGGAAAGGATTAAGATTTAGATTTTTGTTAACATAAATCCCCACAGATGATACTTTCTGAGTGTGGCTCACGTTATCTGCAGCCTCCTAGAGCACGTCACCTACGCAGTTTGTCGGTCCCACTTTATTTATTTGTACCAAAATTTATGCAAATGCCAGCTTTAGATAAAAGTACAGATTTGTTTAAGGGATTTATGCTGCAGGATATGTGGAAAAAATGATGCAAGAGTGGCATTATTACTATGCCAGAAAAAACAGGAAGTCTGGATAATTAAAAGGGTAACATTTAGAGCAAAGAAAGTGTCACCTGGCACTCCTCTACAGCGTGAATGTGTCCTTCGCATGAGTCAAGGTAATTGCCTCTTAAAAGCCGGAGGAAAAACTGTTTGCGTTTCCTCCGATAATGAGGCTGGAAGGCAGGGTTATCAGAATATTCTCGGGAATACTTCGGTCTTATTATTTAGCCATTACGAATGTGTTGCAATGACATACAACAGCTAGGAAGTCCATGTCTGGCAGTGCCAAGGTTTAATCTTAACACTGCAGTTGATAAGAGCAGAGATTCTGGCTGCCTTTTCAGCTATGGCAGAAAATCCTTCCAGCTCACCCTGAATCACACACCCCATTTAATTTAGAGAAACTCAAAACCAGTAATAGCTTTTAAGAATTCCATTTTCTGTTCAGCCTTTTGTTTGTTTGTTTGTTTTTTGGAAAACCTTATCTGATATTTTGATTGCGGATTCCTCCCTCCTTACCCCCCATTGCAATGGGCATCTTTTCTACAGGCAGCAAATAACTTTCTAGTTCATTTGTTTACTGGGCAAACCCATCCACAGATACTTGATTTAATCACGGGGAAAATATTTGTGTCCATTTGGGGGAGAGGGCAGAGATTCGGGGATGGGTAAGGAGATGAAATGGGAGTGTAACAAACCCCACTGAGGCATAACCCATCTGTTCTAACCCTTGGCTTAACAAAAAGTCTTGGCTTAACAAATTACGTCACTGAAAATGTTGTTACCAAACTTGGGCAGCTTGTGGTGTGGTGTGGTTTGGAGATTGCAAAGTAGGATTTGGGGATAACAGATGACAGGTGGCCAACTGGGTTCTATGGATTTTGAAACTGTAGTGTCAATTATGTCTAAACTGATTTCATCTGCTTAACTAAATCCCTATATAAAATACCTTGATTCAAAACAATTTCTTTGCCACTGCTGCCTCTTCTTTGTTCTCCTCCTCCTCTTCCTCCTCTCCTCTTCTTCTTCTTCCTCTTCTTCTTCCTCCTCCTCTGAAGTGGAAAGGCTGACATCACTGTATTGGAAACTCTTTTGGACTTAAACCTTGGCAAAACTTATATTTGAGGAGTGACCGTCTAGTGGACAGATGGAACCCAAAGCAAAGTTAAAATGAATGCAGGTAGTCCTAGACTTATGTCCACAACTAATCCCAAAATTTCTGTTGCTAAGTTGTTAAGTGAGTTTTGCTCCATTTTATGACCTTTCTTGCCACAGTTGTTAAGTTGGTAACACGGTTATAAAGTGAATTTGGCTTCCCCATTGACTTTGCTTGTCAGAAGGTCACAAAAAGTGATCACATGACCCTGGGAAATAGAACCATCCTACAGTTGCCAAGTGTCCAAATTTTGATCACTTGACCATAGAGGATGCTGCAATGGCCAAAAGTATGAAAAACGGGCATAAGTCACTTTTTCAGTGCTGTTGTAACTTTGAATGGTCACTAAATCAGACATGTCAAACTGCTGGCCCGTGGGCCAGATGCATCACACCGAAACCACGCCCACCCCATTGCCGGCAATGGGAAAAAAGTCCCGATACATCACGCGATGTCATGTGATGTTGCGAGTTTGACATGCCTGCACTAAATGAATGGTTGTAAATTGAATCCTACCTATACTCAAGGTTAAAATCAAAGCCAAATTGCACAATCTAAAGCTGTAACCCTAAGTAATATGACACGGATTCCCATCATGTATTTCCTACTTGCAGAAAAATCTATACATTGATGAGCTCCTGGTTTCATGCCACCCAGAGTCACTTTATCGGGGAGATGGGTGGCATATAAATTTAATAAAAAAACAAATAAAATAAATACTTGACACCTAAAATTATGAATATGGTTAATTCAATTGACAACACCTGTCCTTAGCAGATTAAATGAGCTGCTGTGCTTAATACAGGCAATACTTGCAAGTATTCTGTGTGTCTTGGCAAAGCTGTGGAGTTAAAAATATTCCATCTCACACAATCTCAGAGAGCCTTATTAATAGCAGAGGATCAAAATATCTTGAAGCCTTCAGCCAGCCTTGCAAATGCCTGACTCCTGTTTTCTAGCAAGATCTTCCCATGTAAACCACAGTTTGTCATCATCCTTGTCCAATGAGAAGGCAAGATTATAAACTAATTAATAAATGCAACAAATCTCTACATTTACAACTTTCTTTTAAGAGGTAGAGGTGTGCTTTATATAAAGGAGAAAGGGATACATATTATTTATTCAGCATCTATGTAAAAAATAGACTTCCGGTACTGTCCTGGATATAGCACATCAACTGTGTGTAAGACAACAGAAGAGAAAAAGAGAGTATGTAAGTATGCATACACATCAAGGACGAAAGTCCATGCATACATAATTATGTTTAATCTAGTATTTGTGTGCATCACCCTGAGGTGACCATAACAATGGAAAATAGGGTTGCAGAGCTGGAATAAGCATTTGCAAATGATTCTCAGCATGAAAAATATGTCACGAAACTAGCATATCAGGAAATGAGTTGGGCAGCAACTTGGTGCCACTTCGTCCATGTGCCTCTATCAAAATAGCAGATATCTGCAAGGACCAGTTGTTCAAAGAGATCTTTGAAAAGCTGCCTGTGAAAAAGGAGGGGGCACTGAGCTCCTTACAAGTGGCTAATTCCCTCTGTGGAACACGGTGTTTGCCTGCTTAACAGTTTCCATTAGATAAGCACTGTGCATTATAAAACCATGCTCACACAGCAGTTATTGCTGGCGGGCATGGCAAGGCAGGTCAGAGAGACATCTCCAGGCAGGTGATTAGAGTGATGCCATAACTGAGGAATGCGAAGGCCATTGCTGGATCAACTTCTCTTAACGGTGCTGAAATAAGCTCTGAAAACAAAATGCTTTCAAATTGGCTGAAATCAATGATGGATGGCTTGAATAAGTCTTTGATTCCCTTTTCGAAAATGAGATTCTCAACCAGGATTGCTTGTCACAAAAATACATTAAAAAAAGGCTTGAGTTGCAGCTACATTTACAACATGTTTGCTACTTCTGCCTCAAAAGTCCATAATTCTGACTGTCTAAAAGGCCATAATTCTTGAACAATCTTCAGTTCTTTGATGGCTATCCAGGTTTTCCCACCAGCAGTGATAAATGTTTAGATTTAATTGCTATTGTTCATTCTTTAGCTTTGTGGTGATGTTAAAGTAACTTAAGTTAGTTTTTCAATCTGAGAATTCCTTTTTCTTGCCTGTAGCTTTTAGGACACTTTAGGCAAAGGGGAAATTGTGGCAATGTTGGGATGGGAACTGTCTGGCTTTACTGTTATCAGGAACAGCTGTGGGAATGGTATGGAAATGCCTTAGATCAGTCTAGTGGATCAAGGCATTCTGGGCTGTGGACAGGAGGCTTGAAATTGTCAATCTGACATCTTGCCCATTTGATGTATCCATCAGGGGTAATGCTATCTTGCTATAATGATCTGGGCTTAGAAGATAAATGAACACTTCCACTTGGGGAAACCTCATACCATTGAACAAGATGCTGATCTTTCAAATGTGTGTATTTGGACGCTTTCTGACTTAAATAATGATAGAACAGTTTCAAAGCACCTGTCTTGATCACATGAGTAAAATATGAAGAGAGTTGAAATCACAATAGACTTTCCTGAATTGGTAAACTGAATTTCTATCAATAATTGAATAATCAACAATTATGGGTTATAAATCGCCAATCTAGTATCATAAGTCTAAAGATTTATCTGACTTCTGCCT